AGCGCAATCTGAAATCGGTTAGACAGACACTTTCGTTTTGATTTTGACACTAGTAACTAGTGTGATGCGTCTAGTCCTCTGATTGGTGTAGACTGAATTCTATTAGTCAGGTTGTAATGTGACCACCACTTTTATTATGTCGATGTCGCGTTGATCATTTGTGATTATTGCAAAATGGTACATCTCAAACAGTCCTCATCCCGAAACGCCCTTGGATATTCACAAGATGATACAGACGGTGTAAAATAGTAAGGTACATCCACAGAGAAAAGATATCTGTAGGGCAGTGTATCTGTCTGTCTGGATTCAACATAGAACTTGGCACCGAAGTGCAGCAGTTCGAGTTGCCACGTTCCAAATAGCACACAGAGGTAGACAAGAAGATGAGTGAAGAGAATTAATAGAGTTTGACAAATATAAGAGTGAAACAGAATGGGTAATGGTAGAAAGGAATATGAAAGATTACAGAGATTGAATACATCTGCGCCATTGACAACGATTTTGAGCCATGTCACCTATTGTCTCCAGCCATTGATTCCTAGAGTCCCGAGGGCCCCAACCCGGGAGTCTGCATCTCCCTACCTGACTCAGTTTAACTGTCAAGGATTTCATGGATTGATGCCATGTTTTTGTTTGGCCACCACTGGCTCTTTTCCAACCTGAACCTATATCAGCTAACAATGCCCGTCGGGGGAGGCGGTGGTTAGGCATGCGCACCACGTGACCTAGCCATCTTAGTCTATGTAACTTTATAACCTCGTCGATTGATTTTCCCTCTTTGCCCAACACTCTACGCCTAACGTCAACATTACTTATCTTGTGTATCTGAACTTACAAGCTACAAAAAATAGGGGATCTACGAGAACATTGTTTGATTGTGTAACAAAGCTTTACTCAAAAGAAAAAGTTGAAGAAGAGTTATCCATTTTGAAAAACTGTATGAGGGATAATGGTTACCCATCCATCCATCCATTCACAGAAGTTCATGGATAAACATAAGAAACAAGTAGAGTAAAAGTTCATCTTTCTACAGTTTGCTTTTAATGGTGATAATACTCCCAGCAGATTAAAATGAAGACTGAACTCTATCTTGAGTAAAGAAAATATCAAGCCGCAAAACTTGTATTTGCATATTAAACGACTACTTTGTTGTTTACGAGAATCAAAAGTGGACAAACTCTCACTTCATGCTACCTCCAACTGTGTCTACACTAATTCACATGCACGTGCTCAAACAAATACACATCAGGACAAACAACAGGGTTATTGACCGCATTTCTGAACACATATAACAGGTAACCTGAGACTAAAGGCATCACGGACATTAAATAGTGTGTGGTGATTAAGCTCTATCTATTCGATGCTAGTTGTGTTGTCAGCAATCTGAAGGCGTTCAAAATAATCAACTGGAAATAAAACAGAAACCCAATTTGCTGTGTTCTGCCGATTGAAGTCAAATCTATGTACACACAGAAAGAGACAGTGAGGAGTCTTGCCCTACATCTCAGTGATTTAACTTAAAAAGTAAAAAAAAAAAACAACTTTATGACGTCATGTATTCTCCTATATCTTCTATCCTGTTTAGAAAATTCGATTGTTTAGTCTAGACATGACTTACCCTATCCCCTTTTAGCCATTTTACAAAAACAGCTTTCCTATGGTTACGCAACCTATTATATTGTTATACTCTTTCTAGTTAAACTATGTTTCTACTCATAAACATTCGACTATATTCTCAAGAGTATTGGTCTTATCATCCTATAATTAGTCGAACCTTTTTAACTTTTAATTATTTAATAAATTACATTATTCCGGAGTTATGTTACACTAAGTTCCTGACAATTACTCCTCATTACTGTGAAAAGGGTATGTTAGAATCTTTAATGTAATTTATACTTTTGATCCCATAGGACTGGACTACATCGATACCTAGCATAAAGATAGGGAGTGAAGTAGTGGAGCGTGTTGACCACTTCACTTATTTATGAAGTTGCACCAGACCCAGTAAGTTGATCGTTGACGAAATGTTAGTATTGATACAGAAGACTCGTTTTGCATACACTAACTTACGACATCTCTGACACACACGTGATATCCAACTAACGACCAAAAGACGTGTGTACTGCTCAGTAGCTCACCCTCTCCTCCGTTATGCCTGTGAGACATAGCCAACAAAAGTGAAAGACATGTGAAGACTGCTTATCTCTGATTACAGGTGTTTGCGTTCTATCTCCCGTGTTACGTAGTAGGTATAATAGGGTGAGAAATATTGATGGTGGGTATCGAGTGGTAGGTAAGCAGAGGAAATCAATCGATGAGGCTGAGAAGCACCTGCATTGATTCAAATGTCTAGGAAATGTGTTACGCATGCCTCGTCATCGCCTTCCTCGATAGTCAATGTTAGCTCACACACGATCACGTTGGAAAACCGCCAGTAGTGGTCAAACTAAAATACGGCATCAATCCATGAAATCATCAACGGTTAGTTTGAGCCAGTCACATAGGGAGGTGTAAACTGTCTGGCTGAGGTCCTCAGGATTCTAAGAACAAATGTTTGGAGACGACTGCTGACATGGCTCAAAATTGTTCTCAATGTCTGGCGCAGATGCATTCACTCTTTGTCATTTACCATATCACATAAAACTCAACTGTTTTTCTACATTACTATTCTTTCTCTCTCACACTTCTGTTTATAAATCTGTATTTTGAGCCTCTGTTTACTCTTTTCTCTTGGTTTGTGTGCTACATGCAGTGTGGCAATTCAAACGGCTGCATATCTGTGTAAAGTTCTATGTTGCAATCAGTCAGTCAGCCATTGTTCAGGTTGTAATGAGATACGAAGAATCTCCAAAATAAGAAAAGATGAGGTCATTATCCTGCTACCTTTGTCACTCTTGCTTTCTTCAAATTTATTCACCTGCATGAAGTTTTTAAAGAAACTTTAGTCTTGTATTAACCTACAAACTAATAATGCAGAACTGATGGCTGATTGGATTACGCCCCAGTGGCTTAACCAGATCAACCAGATCACCTTATAACATGAAGGCCCTCTTTAGCTGGTATAACTGCATTCACAGTAAGTGTTAGTGTTTCCACTGAAGCTTCAACCCACTACTACTCATCGCTTCAAACACCAAGGCGTTATCCACTAGGATAGTGAACCAAAGCAGGTAATTTATATGTCCCGATCGATTGCTGCTAACTTGACGTGCCTATTAGAGATAAGTTTATTTCAAATATCCCGCAGTAATGCAGTATTAATAACTGGATCATGTTTCGAGCATAGATTATCGCTGCTCATAATCAATTTAGTCACACGGCTTTACAATATGTCCTTGAAATAGTTTACCTCTTTTTCTCTTTCTACTTCCCCTTATTGATTGTTACCGCTAATAAGCCTATTGGAATGTGTGGCACTAACAAAATCGATAAGGGCAGAGAATGCTGCTTTTAGGCCAACAGTTGTATTTAGGGAACTCAATGAAGTATGCGCTGAAGACGTTGCCTAGTAAGGCAATGAAAGCTTCTTAAGTAAACCATCCAAGTCAGAGAACACAAGCACACCAAAACCATTCACCTGAGCTACAAATCTTCTCTTTTATATCCAGAAATAAAAACAATAAGTAATAGACAAATTGTGAAGCCGTATGACTCAAGTGATATGATTATAAGCAGCAATAATCTACACCCGAAACGTGATCCAGTATTCTGCATCACTGTGGGATAATATTTGAAGTGAACTTATCTGATATGGAAATACATTATACCATAGTGCCCAAGTTGTCCTGAAGAGAATAAAAGATGCACTAAATGCAGAAATCAGTCCCACCGTCCAGAACAAGCTGGATTCAGGACAGGCGACTGATGTGCTGATGAAACAGCAACGCTACGTTTTATCACCATAATCGTCATCATCGAACAAGGGACAGAATGGCAGTCAAACCTCTACCTCAACTTCCTTCATCCACTTCGAAAAGGCCTTCATCAGACAGCATTTACCAAAAAGTAATTGGGAAAGTGCTTCAACACTACGACCTGTGGTATTCAAGTCTTTATCAACCTCATTCAACAGCTATATAACAATACCACATGTCACATGATCCACAACGGGAAAACTCAGAAAGGCATCCGGAGTAAATACATGAATAGGACAGTCTGGCTGGCTGTCAATTATCACCGATGATATCCTTAATTGTGGTGGATTGGATTATGCGGAAGACTGTGCTCAGGAGGGAGAAGACAGGAATACGTTGGACCACCGATAAGAAGACTCCAGAAGATCTGGACTTCACCGATGATTTCTGTTTAATGTCATACAAACTCGGAGACTTACAGTCGAAAATCAACAAACTGGTTGAAGAGGCTAGCTGGCTGACTGACTGATAGTGAAGAGAGGACTTCAAGTGAACATAGAGAAGATATAAGTGATGAAGATACTCACCGACCAACAGCAGCAACAACAACAACAACCATCACTAATCATCATCAACGAGAGAGATTTGACAGCAGTTACTGCCTTCACTTATCTATACAGCCAGCCAGCACAGTTTCAACTATGTATGAGAAGACGAAGATGAATCGGGCAAATGTTGAGGAGGCCATCGAATGACATCATGAGCATTGCAGTCCGTTGCTCGAGCATAATTCGAATGGAGGACGACAAGTTGGTCGACCTCAGGTGACACATAGAGTAGATGAGAGATTATGGGCAACGTGAAACCAGCTGAAGAGAATAGCATAAAATTGAACAAAGTGGAGATATGTTGTTGAAACTCTATGCTCCACTCGGAACCTAAAGGAATAATAATAATAATGATAATAAAGCAGTGCCCAAGTTTCACACGTACATTAGCTTCTAACCACTCCCTAGTTTTCACTGGTTCCCTAACTTGAATTGCATGAGAAATAATATTAACAAAAATGATTGATGAATAAACCAAGCACGACACAGTGAGTTAAATTATTAACTGATCGAAACGGAGCAGATGAAAAACGCTTACCAGTAGCAGTAGTAGTAGTAGGCCTTAAATTTGTACCACCATGAGATGTAGACTGTTGACAATTCTGATTTAAGCCAAGTTTTCCATATAAATCCGGTATAGAAACACGGGAAGACAGAAGTGATGAAGAATTTGTAAAGGTATCATTAGATGATGAAATTGTAGGTGTACTATTAAAGTGAATATAATATAATAACAGTATAGAAAGCAGACAGTCGAGAAGAAGAATACATGATATGAGATAAAATTTATAACTTAATTGACTAAAAGATTTTTTTTCAATAAAATTAGAAATATTGAATTGAATTTTTGATTTTCCCGTCGATTGATTGGACCGAAGTGCTCGGTTTCAGGTTGACATGTCGGCTTCTTGTGCAGATGCTTCGACGATGTCTGGGCATTTAGTTAGTATACAATTGGTGGATGGTGGCTAGCAGTGGAATGCAGGATAAAGCGCATGTCGTCCTATTTGGGACTCGTCAACCAGCTGGATGTACCTGCATTTCTCAGTGAGTGATGATGTTCCCACTGAGGCTCGAACCCAGTGCTCTCGTGGCCCAAGTGGTCTAGTGGATAGCGCTTTTGCATTTGAAACTATGGGCACTGGGTCCCAGCCTCAGTGGGAACATCATCACTCACTGAGAAATGCAGGTACATCCAGCTGGTTGACGAGTCCCAAATAGGGCGAAGTGCACGTTGTCCTGGATTCAACTGCTAGCCAACATCCACCAATTGTATACTAAAATTAGAAATAATTATAAAGAATAAAATGATGTCTGAACGTTTTTTTCAACGATTATTACCTGTAGACGACGTGAGTTAAAATAAGAGTTAGTTAGGGATTTAAGTAGTTTCAAGTTTTGATAACGGATTGATATCAGTTAAGGAGAGACATTGGAAACCAACAGACAGTACTGGACAGCTGTTTCTTCCCTGATAGTTTGAGACTCATCGGCGGTATGCAACCAGGATTTTCCGTTCACAAGGCAAGCTAGTATACCATTCATAGCCACTGGAACCCAATCCAATGCCCGGCGGAGTCTGCTCGGTCTGAAGGTTTTGGATTCGAACTCCAGTAGATGTGTACTGCCAACGAATCCCAAACTGGGACGAAACAGCTGTCATCTCCTCCCTGGTGGCTTTTAACGATCTTTATAACAGATGCTGATTCGTGACAGAAGGCTAACAATCGGAAGAGATTCTCCTATAACATTTCTTACTTAGAGTTGTGTGGAGATTTAGCTCATTGGCCTTGAGCATTTATGTCTGTCTGTCTATCTGTTTTCGACATAGAACTTTGCACCGATGTGCGACAGTTCGAGTCGCCACACTCCATGTAGCACACAAAGCAACAGAAGTAATGCATAATAGAGACAGTGAACAGAGGTGTGAGACAAAGGAAGAGTAATAACGAAGAACAATACAATTTCATTGGAAATCATAAGTCACAAGGAGTGGATGCATCTGCGCTATGCATTGAGAACGATTTTGAGCTATATCACCAATAGTTTCTAGCCATTGGCTTTTACCGTCCCGAGGACCCCGAGGTTGGCGTCCTCGGAGCACTCCACCCTCCAGTCAATGAGTTCCATAGTTCGAATATCACTCCACTTACTTTAGCCTAGGTAACTGGGTAGTTAACTGACTAATATCTTAATAAATTGAGTAGTTCATACCTTTAGTTGATTAAAATAAAACATAAACACTCAAAGTCATTCATTCTATACTCTACTTTCCAACAGACAAGCTGATTTGTCTGCTTTTGGAAGTGTGTGTGTGTGTGCTCGCGGTTGTTACTTTCCACCTGCCCACACACCATCAGAGTTAACTTCTTTTTGGAGTAGGTGAAACGAAAATAGTATTAGTGTTGCGAAGCCCAGAGGACAACTGGTAAAGGCCAGTCATACGTGGAGTTGCGTCCGCTTGAAAGTCTTATCGCCAGCTACAGACCGCTGCAAGATACATCAGATTGGTATCATCTTTGGATACGACGTATGGTAGTAATAGAACCTATGGGAATATCAATTCCAACTAGTGCAGCTGTGTTCGTGGTCATTGTGATATACAAGTCTGACCACCATGTCAAGATAGCACTTTATCAATCGGGAAATATACCAATTTATTTATAAACACTGATAATGTCAGTATGAAAACTATTAAGCAAGTTAAAGAATACAACCACAATCAGAAACCATTCCACAAAATAAGAAGAAACATACTTTAGACTATTTTCCATTGGAATTGTCTTATCAAAACATTCATTCAAATGTGTAGATGACATAAGCTGCATAGGAGGATCATATATACCCATTAAAATGGCTAATTGAGCTTCACGTTGTTTAGCCTCTTCAATTATCCGAAGTTTTGTAGCTTCATCAGATGCACGTTGTGCAACTGTTAATTCATCTTTAGTTGGTCTAGCTGGTCGTGCAACTAATGTGTATCCATGAAAGTTTAAACCATCTAACCTATAAATAATAATAATAATAATTTCGCTTTTATTCCAGATACAATACTAGTGGTACAGTGTGGAATTTTCAGCACATATCTACAATATTGCATCTAATTTCATCGCACATTTAAAAGGAGTATTTCAAAAAAATTAATTATAAAGACAACAACAACAAAAAACACACAAAAATAACAAACAAAATGCAAAAAAATACCAAGTAGAAAGGAAAATAAACAACAATAATAAATAATATTTCAGTACTGCGTAGTATTTATTTTACTTAAACGCATAAAAACTTGGTACAATATGGCACCAAGAAAGATGCACCACACAATAATGATAAAACAACATAGATCGAAAGAAAAAAGAAAGAAAAGAAAAAAATATCAGTAGAGAACGGATAAACAACTTCATCTGGAAGGAAAACAGTCATGCTTAACAAGTTCAAACAGTATTTGTTAACTATCATCGGGAAGGGAAGAAAGAAGGAAATTGCAACACGTGTAATAGCACGTGATACGTTTCATTGATTGTTTGTTGCTTTATTCAATTCATTGTGTGAGGGCTGATATATTGCCCGGGCGCCCAGACCGAAGCAGGTGGTTTTATTAAGGGACCACCCCCCCGAGCCTTTGACTTGGAGTCTAATCTGCAAGGCGGCGGAGCAGCGTCAGGAGCTGCATTCCCATGGTTTCCGGTGATCCATATGGGTTCATACGCCATTTGATCCGTTTAGATTCTGGAGCCCATGTACCCCATGGTAACTGCTTTTAGTTTAACCTCTATCCAAACAACCTTCGTGACATGGTAGGACCTGCAGGGGCATGAGTCCCAGTCAGTTTAGCATGTTGCGTCATCACGGTATTCAAGCCCAACCACCACGACAAGGTAGCAGTTATCGGCCGGGCGTATTGGGTAGTGGAAGCTATGATATGTGTATGCGTGGTGAACATTAACAGCTATAATCATACAAGAAGATTATGAAATGTTCTTAAGAATGTTTATAGCCAAGATGATCAGTTAATTTGATTGAACTACACTTCACAATCATAAAATAAACATTTCAGGGATTTTTCATCGTCAGCTCTAATGCGGTGTTTCTAGTGGTAGTGTGAGTAATCATGCATAATACAAAAGTTTTAGGATGGTGATAACGGCATTTACAACCAAGATTGTCAGTTAATATTATTTACTATTAATATATAATTGTTCCCTTGGGTTCTGAATGAAATATAGGGATTCAGCGGCACACCTTCAATTTGGCCTATTCTCTGCAATCACCTGAAACTGATCCCACACGATTGCCCATACATAGTCTCTTATCTCCTCCTGACACGATCGTCACTATATCACCTTCAGAGCCACGCCCACCAACTGATCGTTACCTATTCCGGTTCCACTGGATCATTGGCCTGGCATCAGCCTATTCACAGCATGTATCCGAACCATTTTCATTTTCTTCGACATACCTTTCAGCAGCAGGTACTTACTTGGCTGGTTCGTTCACAGAGTTTCGTATTGCTAATTCTTTCTGACAGGTCATGTGATCTTCAGTATGGAGCCAGGAAAGATGGTTAGCTCTTGATAAATGTCTACAGTAGCTTGTTGGAAATGCTTTTCATGACGCGTGAGCCAAGCTGCTGACCCATAAAGATAAACCAACTGGTTTAACATTTGTATTAGAAATCCTAACTTTACTGCTTGTTCTATGAAGTGTAGAAAATTTTCAAACTGATTTCAGATTGACGATGGTGTGTCTTGTCTTTCCGATCCTGTCTGTCTTTGACATCCGCGTAGGTGCCGTCTGTCTATAGCTTAAACAATTCCGCCTAGATAAGTAAAGAAAGAGATCTCTTGCTGGTTGATTACTTTTATCACCTCCATGGTTAGCGGTGACCATATTATTTATTATTATGGGCACCATGAGACACGTCACACAAAATCTCACAGTTTGTGAGAAGGCTGGGATACTGTCCAGACGCTTAGATTGAGGCAGTGGTTGTCTTCAAGGGCCACCCTACTCTAAACCTTTGACTTCAAGTCTGATCATTAAGGCAGTGGAGCAGCGTCATCTACAATCCCATGTTTCTGGTGAGCAAAACAGGTTTATACGCCATTTGATTCTTTCGGACTATGGAGTCCGTGCACATCACAGGTTTGGAATTAGGGTTTTCCGACTACCCAAGGTAGACCTGAATCTCCACAAGTCTTGTTGTGAGGGTCATCCTATCGTGTGAAGGCAGTGAATACAACTTGCCGAGCAGAGATCATGAACACGTGACTACAGAAGAGCATTTCGGAGGAAGACGGAAGTCTACCCACCCTCAGCCGTTACATGTCTTTCATGGAGTCGACTATATCATGTTGAAACCACTGGTTCACGTTCAGTAACTGGAGTTAAGTGGAATTGCTGTTCATTGATCTAGCTGATCGACTTCCCACTACTAGGTTACATGTTCAAAACTCGCTTCACTTACCGAGATTAAGGCAGACATGTGACATCACTAGCTTTTAGACAATAGGTGCGGCTTATTACAAACTGGATGCACTTGTAATTGATTAGAAGTGAAATCCACAAAGCGTGATTCCTCTTATCTGAGACTTATCAGTTTAATGTACCCTGCTCTCCACTGAATGGTGGTATTCCCAGTCAGGTTCGAAACTAAACCATTTTCCACTTAGGTCACTGAGCGAAACCATATAAACAGGGGCGAATACTTGAGTCAAATAAAAATTATTCCACTAGAAGTACAAAAATAGTTGGACAGATATACACAGTAGATTAAAGAGACTGACTGACTAACTGACTGGATTTAACACCAAACTTTGTATATAAGTAGAGCAGTTTGAGCTGTCACACTGCATGTAGCACACAAAGCAATAAGGATATTAGAAAAAACGAAAATAGGCAGAAATTTGGCAGAGAAAAGAAATAATAGCATGGAAAACCAATAGGATTTAAATGGATGCAGTAGACCACAGAGAGTGAATGCATCTGAGCCAGACATTGAGAACAATTTTGAGTCATTTCACCAATCGTCTCCAAACATTGGTTGTTAGAATTCTGAGGACCTCAGCCAGACAGTTTACACCTCTCTATGTGACTGACTCAAACTAACCGTTGACTATTTAGTTTGACCACTACTACTCGTGCTTTTCCAACGTGATCGTGTGTGAGCTAACATTGACTATCGAGGAAGGCGATGACGAGGCATGCGTAACACATGTCCTAGACATCTGAATCGATGCAGGTGCTTCTCAACCTCATCGATTGATTTCCCTGATTACCTAACTCGACACCCAACCTGAATGTTTCTCATCCTATTATACCTACTAGGTAGCACGGGAGATAGAACGCAAACACCTGTAGTCAAAGACAGTCAGTCTTCACATGTCTTTCACTTTTGTTGGCTATGTCTCATAGGAATAATGGAGGGGAGGGTGAGCTACTGAACAGTCCACACGTCTTTTGGTCGACAGTTGGATATCATGTGTGTGTCAGAGATGTCGTAAGTTAGTGTATGCAAAACGAGTCTTCTGTATCAGCGCTGACATTTCGTCAGCGATCAATCCATAAGCACTGAGGCAACATCTCTAATAATTGAAGTGGTCAACATTGCTATACCATTACTACTACTTCACAACTAGACTGCTTCAAAGTTGCGTCGAATTTCCGAACCGAAATGATGTTGACATGTTGGTCATCTGAAAGAAGCTGCTTGCTGTTGCTATGTACATATTCGCCAGCAGTACGGCTTTACCCACATACCTCCTGTATAGTGTAAACATCTTACAATATGACAGTTACTGCTTTGAGTCTAATCGCTATCCTAACAATCTTTCTGGTAGGGCAGGGACCAGCATGAACATCAGTTCCATTCAGTGTAGCTTGCTGAGTCATTGTGATATGCAAGCCCGACTCTACCATGTCAAGATAACAGATATCGGTCGGGATATTAAAGATATAAGATGTACAAGAACGGAAGTATTACATAATAAACGTTAAACTACAAACTGAAAGATAATTAGCTGTAAAGACTGAATAATAATAAACGTTCTAGGGAGGTTAAAATATGCTGTAATTTGGATGTCTTTTTAACGAGTCTACCAGCAAACTACACAATCGTATATTTATAAATGGCTTTTAAGAAAATATATCTAATGAGGAAGTATTTATGGTAACGATGTGAATCGGGACAAAATATATGTGATTATAACCAAAGTTCAATATCAAGTGACAAGATAGGTTGTATGATATATAAAATAGTTCATAGAACGCATAGATCTTGGAAAGGAGTGCAAATACTTTCCACAAAGATATCAGGCCGAATTCTAGGATCATTTTGAAAGATAGAAAGGAAATATGTAAGAGACTTCTGATACACACTTAATCAACCCTAATAACGATTTTAAGATCATCCTATCGAATTCCGCTAAACTAGTGCGTTTTCTTCATCTCAAACTCCTGTAGACAGCTGAGGCCTTGGTTATTCATAAGTCTAAGCTGGATACTTGTGTACAAGAGAAGCATGCACAGTCTCTTTTTCTACCTTGTTCTTAGAATAAAGAAGAGGAATAAAAATTTATTTAATTTCACCTTCTGTGGTAAATCTGTGTTCCTGATGTAAAAAGAATTCGAAAACTAACAAAGTTACCAGAAGAAACAACGAAGACATAACTTTAAGTGGACGCAGAAAATACAGAGGTGATGAAGGTGCCTGACCTAAAACGGAAAGCATTAATCATCACAGGCATTTGCAACAAGCCACTACACCTTTTTTCAATAGATGCCTCTGGTCAATAGTGAAGATTTATTTATTTATTTTATTTTTGATTACAGCTTGATTCCACACCGTATTTTTCGTACAAGTATGGAATTTTCAGCATGGATATCGGTAGCCCAAATTTTGCAGGCCGACCATAGTTATCAGGTGTTTGTTGGCAGGGGATCGAACCTCAGACCATGTGCATGGTCGGCAAGAGTCCTAACCACTGTGCCACCGACGCACAGATCAGATAGCCGGTCGGAGGAGATAAGTAACAAGGAACTCTGACAATGAACAAATCAAGGAGAAATATGCAGCGAGAATTAGAGATGTATTGAACATACACTGAAGAGGTTGTTGAGTGACCACCCGCCAGACAGGCGGGAATCCAGAAGGGAGGCGACGAGATGGGTATAGGTCTGATGGTGACATAGAGATGGTATGAGAAGGAGGAGAAAGCTTAAAGACAGTAGTCGTGGAGCCAACTGAAAGTGATGGCAGAAGACAAAGTGAAATGGAGATGTACTGCTGAATGTCTATATAGTACTCGGAACCCAAGGAAATAATAGTAAGAATATATGGTGCATTATTTTTATTATTATATTCACTTTGAACAGTTTCCAATATCTCTTACCTTTTGTTAGTTGAGTACAGTCTATGTTTGAAGTTGGTCCACCGAGGGAAAGGGATCTCGAGTGGTTCCGCCACAGGATGATACTGCATGCCGGTCTAGTCTCGCAAGAGGCAGGGATAGGTGTGTAAGGTTCTCCTGAAAACCAATACCCAGTCAGTGGGTGTACCATTATGTGAATGTGCGTCGGTGACACAGCGGTAAAGTGCTCGCCAACCACGCAGGTGGTCCGGGGTTCGATCCCCAGCCGACGCACTCCCTCACCTCTCTTGGGAAAGGTTGGGCATGAGGCTAGCAATCTCATGCTGGAAAAATAATCACCACTGCTACAGAAACTTCATGCCTCTAGCCTGAAGCCCTATGTTCCAATGGGAGCGTAGAGGAATAAAAAAATGTTTTCAGTGTTAAATTATATCCTATCGGATTTCTCAGATTGTAGCATAGTGTTTTACTTACCTACTAATCTTATGAATTGTATATCCTTTTTAAGTTTTATGCATCCCATAAACTATTTTACATACTATATAACCCTTTTAGCCGTTTGAATAGCGTGGAAAGGTCGCATAACTCCAGCTTAAATTTACCCAATATGCAATGAATAGAACCTTGAAAGAAAATAACCTACCCTTTCCATGCCTTTTTAGCATCGTCAATTGATTTATACGTCAGAAAGCAATAACCAACAGTAGATCCTTGCAAATCACCAGTTTTATGTACAGGGAAATGGAAATCTGACAATTCTCCGAACTGTTTAGCTAACTGTAGAACTGCAAATTCTGTGATGCGTGTCGGTAAACAACCTAGCCATATTCTATGTGGATCACCGTTTACTTCAAGTGAATCACTACAGTCGTCAGAGGCTGTTAATCGACCACTTTTTGTTTCCATTGGGGGGGTGGGCAGGAACAGTTCACTAAGTGACCTAGGGGGAAATGTAAAAAGAAGCAACAGCTAGAAATGCATAAACTGTTCCGAAGTAAAAATAAATTTTTTGTACAAACCCATTGCAGTTGTATCAACATGAAAATTTATCCCTTAAGACTGAACGCTTAACTACTAACTAATAGGTCTGTCTGTCTGGATTCAACATAGAACTTGGCACCGAAGTGCACCAGTTCGAGTTGCCAAGTTCTGAATAGCACATAAAGGTAGACAAGAAGATGAGTGAAGAGAATCAACAGAGTTTGACAAGTATAAGAGTGAAACAGAATGGGTGATGGTAGAAAGGAATATGAAAGATTACAGAGACTGAATAAATCCGCGCCATTGACAACGATTTTGAGCCATGTCACCTATTGTCTCCAGCTATTGATTCCTAGAGTCCCGAGGGCCCCAACCCGGAAGTTTGCATCTCCTCACCTGACTCAGTTAAACTGTCAGTTACGAGTTTGAAGGCCATTTTAACAGAAACTTACAGATAGTTTGGAAGTCTTTAGAGTGTCGATAGAATATGAATCCTCAAGAAAGTAAGTACCTTTGTAACAGCAGAAGGCAAGACACGGAAGCAAAGGTATATTTGCAAGTGATCAAACAGCTATTTATATCTATACAGTTTATATTTTTAACCAATCACTGAACGTGTGATTTTGGTTTACACTAAACAACATGAAATAGAATTGTCAGATACGCGTCTAGTCCTTTATTTAGTGCAGTCTGAATTCGATCAGCCTGCAATGTAGCCACTATTGTAGCTGGCACCGGCTAATGAAAAGTCTATTACATTTAGGAGATATCTGTGGTGAATTTGGTTCAACAATGATGTACCCGTCTATACGAACTACACACATACAAACTGTTAATTCTATTCTTGCATTTACACAACAGTGAACAGGACAGAGTATTCATCTGAAATCATGCATATACGCTTTTCGAAATTTCGAACAAAAAAGTTCACCTAAAAACTGTGACCTTAATTGACTTCAGTGACTTATGGATTGACACGTTACCAAGAAACAGTTTCGTCGATATATAGTAAGTCTGTCTGTCTGTTTTCGACATAGAACTTTGCACAAATGTGCGGAAGTTCAAGTCGCCACATTCCGTGTAGCACGCGAAGCAAGAGAAGAAAGTACAAGAAAAGCATAATAGAAACAGTGAGCAGAGGTGTGAGACAAAGGAGTAATAAAGAAATACAGAACAGTTTCATTGGAAATCATAAGTCACAGGGAGTGGATGCATCTGCGCCACTGAGAACGGTTTTGAGCCATGTCACCAATTGTTTCCAACCATAGATTTTTCCGTCCCGAGGACCCCAGCCTGGAAGTCTACACCTTTCTACGTGGCTTAGACCAACTGTTGTGGATTTCATTGACTGATGCCAAGTTTTTGTTTGACCGCCGCTAGCTTTTTTCCAGCCTGACCCTATATCCGCTAACATTGCTCGTCGAGGGAGGCGATGGCTTGGCATACGTAACACATGTCCTAACCATCTCAGTCTTTGTAGCTTCACGACTTCGTCGATTGATTTCCCCTGTTTACCTAGAACTCTACGCCTAACCTCAATGTTGCTCACCTTATTATGCCACTTTACACGGGAAATAGAACGCAGGCACCTATGATCAAAGACAGCTAGTCTTTTCATGTCTTCCACTCTCATTGGCCAGGTCTCACAACCATAAAGGAGGACGGAGCGGACTGTAGTAAGTAGATGATATTATACTTCTACCTGAAAATCCTAACGAAATATAGAGTACTCTGAACACCTTGTGTAGGAATCTTAGTATGTCTGGTATGCGATTCGCCTACTTCGGCCGTAAGATGTTGCTTCGGGACGTTTTTCACTACTTGTAGGTTGAAGGACAGTGCGTGAAGTCGTAGAGCTTGTTGAACACTTCAGCTATTCGAGATGTATTAGTTCTACTGCACTACATTTATTTTATTTACAACAAAGAACGTGGTACAGTATCGTCACCATGAAGATGTGCCACACTAAGTTTGAGGGATGGAATACTGCCGGGTGTCCAGACTGAGACAGGTGATTGTCTTAAGACACCAACCCCAGAGCCTTTGACTTGAAATCTCACCTGCAAGGCAGCACAGCAGGGTCAGAAGCTACGCCTCCATGGTTCCCGGTGACCAATAGAGGTTCATATGCCATTCCATCCGTTTGGAGTCCACAGAGTATGCATCCCATAATAACTGCTTTTAGTCTAACAGCTATCCAAACAACCTTCCTAGAATGGTAGGACATGCAGGAATATAATTCCCAACCAGTGTAGCTCGTTTTGTCATTGTGATATGCAAACCCGAGCACCACGTCAAGGTAGCACTTATTGGTGGGGTAATGCACTGATTGCTGAGGAAGTATCAAAAGGGATACAAAAGGCTCGTGGTGCATTTGCCAACTTATGGTATTTCTGGCGCACATAGGATATCCGGTTATCGACCAAAAGACGCGTTTAACGCACATCAGTGGGCTTCGTTTTCCTTTGTGGCTGTCAGATATGACCACTGAGAGTGGAAGATTCCAGATGTTTGACTTTTATCTCCCGCGTTAAGTCGTATACTGTAGTGAACACTTATGAGGCTAGGTAGTGTTAGGTAGAGAATAAAAGCCAATCAAGACGTTGTAAAGCTAAGTCAATTGAGATGTCTGAGACACCACTTTCCTCGTTGAGTAATGACATTTGATTGAGTTGGAAGGGAGAAAGGCTTGCGCAAAACGAAACCTCGCATCAATTCATGAAGTCTTTGACAGCGGCTTTGAGACACATGGGGAGGGACATGTAAACCGCCTGATTAGGGTCTTCAAGAGGCTAAGATCCAGGTACTGGGGACTGTTAGTGATATGGCTCAAAATCATTTCCAATGGTGAAGATGTGTTCACTCTACATGAACTTCTAGATCCATAAATACTCATTATTCTCCATGTGTTTGTTCCTTTTCGCATGCTTATTAAAGTGTTATACTTGTACCTTCGTTTTTATACCATCTCGAACTTTATCAGTCAGGATGACCAAACTCTCGTACGTAATCCTGCGTTGTCCCAAACAGCCATCTACACACCAACTACGTATCAAAAATTTAAATGTACAACTCCTGGAAGCGTATTGGCTAAGCAAAACAACATCCGTGATGCATCATAGTCATTTTCGCTTTTGTCATTACCTCAGTTTACTTAAGTGCACATTACTGATCTATCGGGTATGTTTTGAGGAGTAAAGTGTGGTACTTGACACAGTTATATTGAAACTACATATCAACTCTTCTCCCGGGATGTTTAATTTTCTTAGCTAACTAGCCATTATCCACAGAAGACTCGCTAATTGTAGTGTACTTGGTAAACGCATAAATTACCTGGGTGAGGTACTCCACCCGACATCTGTAAATGCATTACTTCGAGAGCTGTGTAACAATAAAGTTTGGTCAAAACAGTACAAGTAAGAGCTACTTGTATGCTAACACACTCGAAGAGTATTGTAATTAGACGAAAGATATAAAAACAATGTTTTCCTAACGTGAGAAGGAATGGGGAGTGGGACTAACTAAGTATGTGTTATGAATTCTGCATTCTGGCAGCGAACACAACAATCGCTTATAGGAAACTGCTTTTACCTAATTCAGTAAATAATTTTAAATCTAATCAATTACAAAATGCTTAATAACCAACATGTGTGTAAAGAGACCGAAAGAAAAAGAGGGGGATGGATTTGAGTGAATTACACGTAAATTTCAAGCAACAGTGGGGCAGTGCAACACAAACATCAGTTACACTTGACAACTACTGTAACCTCTCCCAATTCACTTGAACTACTAATAGTGAAGAACCTACAACCAATGAGTCTATCGATTGTAATATTTAAAAAATATCAGGATGCTGAATTGGACAATTTAGAAAGGCAATTTTGCCTTAGCTAATGTCCATAGCAATTAAACCAACTATCTACGGATTCGGTTGTTTAGAACGAAACTTGTGTAGTAAGATTCTATAACACAGCCGTCGCGAAACTTCCTATAAAGCTAGAAACACTATAAAAATAGTATAAACGTGGTCATCTAAGATACCCCGTTACCACATAACTTTTAGTAGATACATTTTATAACTCTGTTTTAAGTAGATGATAACTATAAGCAAGACGAATAAAATTAAACACCAAAAACACGATAAATCATAAGTCTAGAATAAGGGAGTCGTGCTGTAGTTCACTGATCTAGGCGTCCGACTTCCACCCAGTGGGCCACAGGCTCGAACGCTACTCCGCCGACATTTAGATATCCCAGAGTAGGAACACTAGTCCCCACACAACAGGTATGGTTCACTGGCAACTGCAAAGAATTTTAAGTGGTTGTTGAGTAACATTGTTTCTATTACTACTATTTATATTTAAAAAGGCATATTTGTCATAGTAATCGAATTAGCCTTCTATTAATTAGTCGATTCAGCCATGGATAACAGTTATTTTGTGCACCTTAATCAGAAGACCAATACTTTGTTATGTGATTCATACTACCATTTAACCAATCCATGGATTCACGTCATTTTTACCGTGAATACTTTCGACTACCCCTCCCCACAGTTTAAATTTGCCCTCACTAATAATATTGAAGCTAACAAAAGTCAAATAACTCTTTGAATTTGTGTCAAGATTTCATACGGCCCCAACCTACTAGAGGTCCAATCAAGTTTCCAGAAGTTTGAAAATCCATTTTATGGGAAACTCAAAGGCCGGAAAGCATGCAACATTTTCCGTTTAGGATTTTTTAGAACAGCAACACAACTATGAGCAGTACTCTCACATCTCTTTTCAAATCCTTAAGTGTAAATATCCCTGAAACAGTCCTGGAGGAGGCACTTACTATCAGTTTTTGACAGGGGAGTAATACTGTTGTAATAATATAATCACACAATAGTCACCTAAGCAGTACGTGAACACTTGACGATTAGTGTACTGGTATGAATTTCGCACAATGAAAGTATGAAATGCATTTACAGGACAAAAACTGGTATTGCATTAGGGGTGATGGGGAAGACATTGTTTTTTGGTAGATATGTGAGAGACGTAAATAGGGATTATCAAGATTCCACTAAGAATTTTTGTGTTAATATCCTAATGCACATTTTGTGTAACGAATAGGACTTAAAACTGTTTACCGAAAGCTAAATGAGAATACAATAATGTAGGTTGTCATTGGCATCATTAGTCTGAGAGTGAAGAGTGGAGTGCAAAACTAATGCAGGCAAAGTGGTTACATCCTATTTGAACATTTACGCCTATCAGTAATGAGGAATTTCATTTGTAAGCATCAACATAGCATTAGTAAAGTAGTTCACAAAGTTAACAAGTAGGTTCGGGAAGGCTTTAAACTTCTGTGCGTCAGTGGCACAACGGTTAGGACTCTCGCTAAGAATGCACAAGGTCCGGGGTTCGATCCCATGCGGACTCACATCTGATATCAATGGTCAGTCTGCAAAATTTGGGCTACCGATATCACATGTTGAAAACTCCATACTTGTACCAAAAGTACTGTGTGATTGCAAGCTATGATCGAAATAAAAATAAAATTCATTATCTATAAATCTGTCCGCTTCATTCTACTAAACACGATGTGTGGTTGGGAAGGCAAATAATTAAGTCTCTCAGGTCTGTATAAAAAATATAACAATACCTACTATGAAGTTAGAAATTTTATATGAACATTCTCCTATAACGTGCCATAAGTTACACTTAATGCGCAAAGTGACGATACCACCCAAATGTTCAGGCTGAAGCAGATGGAGGAGGGGGTAAAAACCTGAACCTAATGGTAGAAAGTCAACTTGTAAAGCCATGGCTCATTGCAGTGAGCCCACGTTCAACTTGTGGTACATAAAAATATCCTAAGTCTAGAACCATAAAGTGCATGATTGCAAAATAGGTAAGATAAAACGTCTCCGCTTTAAATAAAGCACTGTAGTATGGTAAACGTCTGACTATAGCTAATTTCACATTGAAAGTGAAAATTATATTCTAACTTAGATCACAATAATGATGAAACAGAATATTTCTATCATTAGAGTATGGTTTTGTGTAGATATGTACATAAAACTGTAGAACTTGCATGAATACCTTGGATATAGTGCAACCAGCGTTTATCAGATGAATTGAATTAACAAAATTGCAATTCAGTCAGAAATGAAGTGTATTCTTCAGAGTGCATCTGAATGTAATATTAGCGTGTCAATGATTTCCAGCTGCTACCTTGTGGTTGAAAAAAGGCGCCTCTTCGCTCAAGGTCATATGAAAGATGAGGTTTTCCTGTTACAATGCCCGAAGGTAAAACACAAAGGTTTCATGACGGCCTATAACATTATTGGCTTGTATCACAGTCGATATTCAACCATCTTTCTAAGGGGTCATCATCATTATGAGAATTATCAAAACTTAATTATCATCTTCGAAAAATTTTAAATTAACTGATAATTGCTGTTCTGTTAGTTAGTTGGGAACAGACAACAAGAATCTCTTGATTTATATCCTGTGCTTATTTGTACTTTCTGGAAAGGCTCTTCTGTAAGCTTATGTAAACAATGTTCAGCCGAGATCCAAACTTGCGTTTAGAAGTGTTACGGTAAGAGATATTACCACAGGACTATTAGTCATCAAAACTACAGACTAAATACATGACATGGGTCACTATCTATTGACCAAGTAATGTGGTGTCTATATTTAAGGAATGAATACCAGTGGTTTTTCAGGCTAATTTCCGCTTTGCACTCCGAAAGTATCCAGCAGCCCAAACTACATAATGATTGCCATTGATTAGCCTGGTGAAACCCAAGTGATCACTCAGCGTTAGATGTTCATGTTGTGTTAGGAGAGTGATGGTAATCGCAAAAGTACCTGGCTGCTTCTAAACATTTTACTACTCCATTCTTACCAACTACGATTTGTTGGTTCAATGAGTGTCACTAAGTGTTATTGATTTTGTGCTTTCGATACCATGATAACCCGAATGGAACCAAAGTCAGATTTGGTTCTGAAGTGATTAATGAATAATGACACCTCCATTGAGAGTAGAGCAATCGGTTCAAAAGCACAGGGACGACCGCTGGCTAAAAATCTACGATAGTTCACCAGTGACCCATTCAATTCACTTTGGTTTGAGTATAAAATTCACAATCCTTCACAGTCCCTCACATTGCTGCAGGATTAAAAAGAGTATCACCTACAGCCACCGAAATTGGTCTAGTAGCTTTGATGGGGTGGGTGACTAAAGAATCATGCATGAAAACTACTGCCGGGAATTAATTTTCATTCAACATAGAAAAGTCGCTTGTCAGGTAAAAGCCATCCGTTTGACCGGAGCTGTGACTCTTACTGTTGAATTACATAGTCACATCCTAGTTGTGTTAGCGTCCATCGTTATTAAATGAATGCATAGTGAACCAAAATGTTCGAATTCGATTCATACTCGTCTAACGGGAGCTTACGGTCTCTCTGTAACGTGGACTTTTACATCACAGAAGAGTTTCTTAGGATTACATACAACAGATACAAGGGCCGAAGCTTTCTCTCCATTTAGCCATATTTTCTTTCTACAGCAATTAGAACTCTGGATGTGCGTATTATGGCTTTTTCCTTTGCATTTGAGGAACCTTTCGCCACTAGCTTCTTAAGCATCCAGTGCTATCACACATAGTGACTTAGGATAACAGTGGGTCGGTGAAGGATTTGATACGACCAGTAAAATAACCAAGTAGATTGCGAGCTATACCTAACTAATGTAATAACGAAAAGTGCTCTGCAAGCTAAATATTGCTGAGACCGCTGGTACAACAATGGCAACGGCAAGAGAAAAACAGCGATTGACAAAAATGCTTGCGTTATTGCAAATAACAGTGAAACTTCGTAGCGATGACTTTGAAGGGCACTAAATTCGCTAGTGGGTTTAAAGAGTTAGGAAACAATGAAATTTCCGACTTCAGACGATGGAACACAAAAACCCATGAATTTGTGACAGTTATGAGGCGTGTCTAATTTGAAATCAAAGAAACTTTGAGATAGAATATTTGTACACTACAGAGGCATCGGGATTTCAATGGACCAATGAGATGATGAGATTGAAGTGAAGATTCAGCAATTTACTCTGGTCACCTGGACAAAAAGCGCATTAATACTTAGGTCATTCTACTATCATGATTCCACCAGCTGCATCGAAGACGTTTAGGGAGTGGGAAGTATTCTCTTTTAGAATGATGGAAGCAGGATTTGAGGCGATGGTATGACCAGGCAAATTAGAAAGTTACTATATGCCCCAAGGAAATATTTAGGCGAAAATGACGGACTTGGGGGAGCTGAAGATTGACTACAACTCAGGCTAAACACAGAAACTGTGGGATGCACCTTCAAATGACATTTTCGCAGAACTCATAAGGTAAAAGTCAATGGCATTACAAGGCATCAATGAGGTAATCAGATTAGAAGAACACTGGAACTCTCTGAAAGCGCCAGGGAACAGAAACCTTGTCTACATTTTATGAAGGATGAAGAGTTAAAAGAGGAAATGACTCCTCACGAACACGGGGAAGCCGATTGAACAGAGGAGGATACTGAAGTCAATGAACCGGTCCAAAAGCAACCCTGAAAGGAAAGGCTGGGATCTCTCTATACAGCATTGGACAAAGAAGTGAAAAATATTTCCAGGAAAGAGAAGAAAATCTTTAACGACACACAGGCAACTAAAATGGAACGGTCCGCAGGTAAGATGGAGCTGGCAAACTTATTTGAAATAGCCAGGTCGCCACCTGGGAAGCGGTCAACACACATGGAACCGATAAAAAATAGTGGATGGAAAGAGGTGAAATGAGGTAAACACCAGAGTTTGTAGTTTGCCGTAAAACTGAATGGATCCCTATCCACTAGTCGGCCGAAAATACCACCGACAGTCAAACAGTTGCCAGACGACACAGTCCTCTGACAAATGCGAATGTAGATCAGGCTGTTGGGTTACTGAAAGCTGGGAAAGCTGAAGTACAATGTGGTAATCACTAGATTCAATGAAGATAGATGGAGCAAATGGAGAGTTCTGGAAACGACCTCGGCACCATTTGATGCAGTAAAACAACTTAACATGACCTCATCTAGTTTTCGCATCCACGATCAAATTTATTTCCTGTTATAAAACTACGATAAGACTGCTGAAAAAGTGGAATAAATATATATCACTGATCTCAACATAATACATCAATAAACTTTAAGCCAATGGTGCTGTTCACAACAAAGTTATGTAGGAGAATTGACTTCAAGCTTTTTTCCCCAGATATCCGTATTACATTCATCTGATGTCTGGGTTTTTTTAATGCGAAGACAATATTTCTATATTTCTTTATTTGTTGCACAAACAGACTTTACAGCAGATTGTTCCGATGGACTCTAATGTCAGAAAGAATAAACACACTGTAAATTCATCACACCAAATTATGTGTAATTTATATGATAACTTATCCATGCCTGTACAATTGGTATGTTCCTGCATAAACAGGAAGAAATATATATATAATAGATCCAGAAACCTGAGAGATAAGGCCTACGCCATCGCTATAGATGTCGTGGAAAGATGGGAATGTGTAAGTAAGGATGGAAAACACCATCAGTCTGTTCAAGATAGGAAGGTGAAATGGCACCGTGCTTCTATCTGACGGATGGCGAACATGTAGGCACGGCATTCTGGAGAAAGAAGAGATTCCGCGGAAGCAAGCCTCTGCCTAGATCAGCTCGGATTCTGGAAAATCAAATTTTGAACGAATCTAACCTCCTGTATACTCATTTTCATCGAACGCAACGGTCAGGACACTACAAAATATTGACTTCTTGGGTGATGTTTATTTAAAAAGACTCAGACTCAAAAATCGACATGCGAAAATGAACACTTTAGCGCAAGAGGCAGGAAAGACAAATGTAGTGACGATACCAAACCGAAAACATCACTTTAGCGTTGAAATCTTAAGACCGATGTCTTTTTTCAACTATGGGCTACACGGATGGAGATACTGAGGCCAGGATAGGAAAATTAAAACAGGTATTCAAAAATCGGAATTCAATTTGGAGGTCCCCTGGACTCAGAATAAGATGCAAGATATCAGTTTTCAATGTCGATGCCAAGTCTGTGCCTCTGTGAGGTGCAGAGACTTGTCATATCATTGAGGAACTTCCAGCAGGTCAGTGTATACTTTCGTTGATGAACGGCAGGATTTGCATATCCATTGAGGAGGTCTGAAGAGCCTGTTAAATGAGGAAATGAAACCATATGGGAAATTGGCCAGCAAAGGAAAAGAGAAGGGGAAGATGTGCCCTTGAGGAAACTAATGTCACATCAGTGATTAAGGTATGAAGAAAAGTGGTACTGTAGGAAGACAAACACTTAGGCCACTTGAATGTCTCCCACCGGGTAAAGTGATCACGACTGATGTCTGACTGTCAATCATGCCAGATCTGAGCGCTAGTCATACCACCTGTCGACTTTTCAGTCTGACCCACACAAAATGGTGACTAGGCCGCACTTAACACCACCCGAAATACCGAGGGGAGAATGTAACATATACGGCTTCTGAAAGATGCATTTATTGACGACGAGATGAAGAGAATGTGTAAGTATATGATAACCCCACAACGAAGCTATCGACCTCTTGACATTTGAAAAACATATTGACCAATGTGTCTCTCAATAGTCACCGAAAAACATGCTGATCGCTGATGCTGAAACTAATGAGGTTAACTTAAGCTTAACAAGCTCATCTGTGGAATTAAGAGTAATTATCCCCACTAAATATAAGAGCTCGGTCAGTCAAGTCCCATCAACTGTCAACGCCTAAAAAGGAACTTGAGTTCAGATCGCTCATTCAATTAATCGAAATCAACGTATTCTTGTAAGTCATGAGATCATCCAGATACTCAGAAAGTGAGTGCCTTGGTGTCATCTTGTAATTGACTACCATTACCTTTAACAGCCTCGAATACGTTTCTTACAATCTCAGTGGTCTACACTCTCGCTTTCCGGCGTGTGGAACCACAGCTAATAATTGTCTCCGTGTGCATGCCATTCTCAGCAATAGCCTAGCCTCCCCGGCGTATACGACCCATCTGCTGTCTCTAACATCAATCAATTCATTCACGGATGTAGAAGACTCGAAACAACTTCAGAAGTAATCACGACGAAAATTTTAACGAAATTATGCAATAACAACAAGATACGAAAACAACAAGTAAACACAATGAATCCAAAAACACCAATTGATATGACACACCACACGTATATACAAACAGTAGAAAAAAACTCGCAGATCGTGTCTCGATGGAATTCCTTTGAA